GTGGTGAGATCGTTCTTAAGATCTATTCATTTTGTCATAAGACAGTATGAAAATCAGCTAAACAATGGAATTCACTTGAACTCGTATAGGCACCCTCTTGACAGAAAGCTGCGACGCAGCAAATAAATACTTAAATATCTACTTGTTTAGCTTTCAGACAGTTAACACCACTGCCGACGAACCATACACATTTTAACTTCAGCCAGTTCAACTGTACCTTCGGAAGCTAAGAATAAGTATGGGCTATTTCGCTTTTGCTTGTTATAGTTTTCTGCAAATAGACACGTTCTCTTTTAGTTAAATAATATGTAGCTATTATTTAATGGAGTTATGACTAAGGTCCTCCTTATGACAACCGATCTCATCGAGACAGAAAATATGCCTTTTCCAGCTCGCTGATTCCGTGCGAGAATGTAGCGAAGGTATTGTGAAGTTTGATCTCACAAAAGGACGATGGCCTGCTTTGGTTTCAATGCTATCATTATATCTTGAATAAGTCACTCCAGGTCGCGTGAGATGGACTCATTCGAAGTTAACCTACATGATACATTTCACGCCATTAAATTTCATTTACCCCTCGTTTAGGCCTCATCAATACGCAAAAAGGAAATCGAACCTTGCTATTTAATTAAACTGGCTAAAATCTACCTCACCGCCGCGAGGTTTGACTTTCAGGGCAGGCCAAGTCTTTGCAAAATCACACCTGTGCTCAGATTGTCAGAGGCAAACTTGTATTTGCCATATCAATCAACGATATTTTATTTGGTGTGAATATGCCTCTAGACATGTTACGATTACTTATTTTTTTGAAGCATTTGTATCAAATCAAGTTAAACTACATTAAACCAACTGGAATGTATCGTACTCCTATTTGCAGGTCCACAAATCTTTAAATCACTCAGACACCACATGAAATTTACTCAAGATTGATGTTTTAGGGAATTTTTTCATTGCTCTCCCTCACTGAAAGCATTAACCTTCCTTTTTACCGGACAATATCCAAGAGACCGACCATATTTATTGGCTACGTATTGACGACTCATCTGGGTCTTCCGGAGAGCTGTGATCATACAAACTAATCATGATCACCCTGAGTGGTTTTGCAAACTGATCCTCAGGATCTCTTGTCATTGGACTTCCTTATTTTTTAAGTACATAGTGCAGACTGCTTGAACCCGTCTGCTTCTTTTCTACTGATGTGGAAATAGTTCTATTTGTGCCGATCTAGCTACCGCCTAAATTGCCTATTCCTCTAAGGTGGCCACTTTTCGCGGCTTTGCTAGGCATTTGTTTATGTAATCTCTTCATTTAATCTTAAATTAACTCCCCAGGTGCACCTCCCCCGGAAACGCCGGTAATGCTGGAGTCTCAATGGGAATTTACGTGGCTCTTGGCCTGGCATCCGGGGTCGCCATCTCCTACCCGCTTACCTCTATCTTATGATCCTTTACGCCTTTTTATTTTAGTCTAACTTGTAATAACGGTTTGAATGCTCTTTTGTTTTCAACTCACCCAGCCCATTTTTATTTGTTTTTAGCAGCTGGTGAACAACAGCTTACCTCAACTATATTTCTTATGATATTTTTTAATCAGCAATTTTTCGCTCTTTTTATCTGTCGATTTCGGTTCGATGAGATGAGTTATCGTATAGATTTGGTTATTTCGATTTATGTTACAATTGGGCGAGTCAGTCTTTTTTTCGAGTCATTCTGCCACTATATCAGTCACTTAACCTTTCGAGACTATGGCACTGATCCAACAATAAGAAACGAGTTATACGCAGCCTTCAGTGAACCGTTTTCGGTGCACATAAAAAATTGTTATTGACTCTTGAAACCACTTAGTGAATGGAGGTGCTGGTTTAACTACTGTGTAACTTTTTTCACCATTTATTTCTATCTACTATGTCCCGGCGTTGTCTTTCAAGCGATGTCGTCTATGTGCTCACTAGAGACGTGATCGATGCACTTATCGGAGCTCATCTCAAGTAGCTTGATTAATGCCTGATCCTAAAATTAGATACAGGACACAAAAGGCACTGACCTAGTTTAGACTATCCATGATCAATAGGTTTCGAACCTGCAGGTAGAGCTGTATTTGGTCTAGACCATATGAAGTGATGAAAGACTGATGGCTAAATTTCCCCAGTCATGTGAGTAGGCTTGCTATTCCACCTAGCCTTAATTCACAAAATTTATGGAACTTGGGTTCATTCCATCTCAGCTGAGAATAGACTCTTGGAGACAAGGCTAGGTGCACAATTAAATTATATCCCGAAGGCCGTTTATTTCACTGTAGGGGAATTCACGTGAAATCCAGAGTGACCACTTCATTTATAATCTATTGGTAGTTTCGACACCTGTCATAACGGATACAAGCAGTGCAGTAGGTTGTAAAAGCAAATACAAGTTAGCTTCATCGACAATCCCACAAAAGATATATTAGAAAGGTCTGGTATTCCTTGAAATCCACGTCTGTTCTGTGATACAAGAGCATTTAAGGTAGTGTTTACTGGCGTCGAAACTACATTCTGCATTGTCATTGTTCGTATCCCACGAGGTCGAAATTGCAGTCAACTTAAGTGGGGATGAGGCTGCATTTTAGGAAGCAAGATTGCGAAATTAAATGCAAATGTAATCAAGTTCGTCTCTCACTACTTCGCCTTATGCGAACTATAGTAAGTATAGCTCCTATGCTAGCCTTATTGCAAAAATATTCTTCATGTGTTTGGAATTCTTCCTTAAAGGTTCCTGTTTTGTTTTTTTGCAAGCGTATATTCTAACCTAATGCTCCTTTTAATGTTATCATTCCACTCTTCTCATTGCATGTTACTGCTTCGTCTATCCTGTCGCGACATAGTCACTCATTTTACCAATACCGAGGATTTCGACCCTAGGTTATCCTAGCAACTTGTTATAATGCGATTTCAGATTAGCGCGTCCTTGAGATGAATGAAGCTGATGAGAATATTACATAATAGGCACTTTATTTAATTGTGTATAATCGCTTGCCTTCGTGATTATGCTTTGAAATTGCACAATGTAGCCTGGTCTCGGACCTATATTCGCAACAAGGTTCATTGGAGCTATAGGCAAATTCCACGCCGATAGTTGATATCTGCTTGGACTCATATTAAAGATTCCAGTCTGTGTATTATCTTCATCACACATGATGACACACTCCGGGCCTACGTTGTATTAGCTCATGCCACTGCTCCGTTCCTAACGTGTTGGTAATATAGTCTTAACTACATAAACGACATCTTTAAAGCAGGTACAGGATTGTATACGCAGCATCAATAGATAGGACCTCTCCAAGATACAAGGAGCTACTCAGTTCCAATCAGTTGTTTAGTTGTTGAGCTTCGAAGGAATTAAGTGGAATGTCAATCGTCTTGATGCAGAATCGGCGCAGGCCTTTTCGGTATGCGAATATGGTCGAAGCCAGCTGACAAAAACGCTCGCAGTGCCGGTTGCGGACAATGAATATTTAGGAAACTGAGAAAAGCCGGTAGGGAGTTAAATGAAACACCCAGACGACATGGCGAGGCTTACAGTCATGCATTTGCCGAGAATGAAGCACCCTTGAAATAAACTAATATTCTCGATGGCTCGATTTCCTTTGAGAGTGCTGATGACACGAAACAGGAATACCTTTATAAGGGCAAGTCAAGCTGAAATCTGGCGCTATACTGTGACATGCGTACCACTGGGAAAATTCAACTAGTCCTTTGTCACGTGACCTAGGGTGAAAACGGTTTGATTAACTGTTGGCACGCAATCTATATTTACACCAGATTCCGTGTATGCATGTGCAGGGCGGGTCAATCAATCTCCTCCCGCCGAAAAGGCATCCGAAAGGCGTCAAACAAACTGCTGGCCTGAAAGAAACAATGATTAGTTGATAGGCAAAGTGGGTTTGGAAAATATCAGTGTATCATGAATAGGGGCTGTAACCACCCCCTGTCGAATTGATAATGATAGCTGAATCCGACAATATTGGTAGGATTTTGCCGCAATCATGCGAGTGGGCCTCGTGAAGCCAGTCACTTTCGCCTGACAAAAGTCGGACTGCGGTTTCGACCTTTATTCATCATGTCACCCAGGGTAAGTACAGCCCTTATTTTAGTGATTAGGTGAGTCTGAATGAAGACCATACGAAAAAGTAGGGCTCACCTTGAGACGACCGATGCCAGAACAGGACTCGAGATCTGCTTGGTCGGCTTTCAGTAAGTTGGCGAAGGTCTGAACGAAAAGGATGGATGGGATAAGGCGACGGAGGTTAGTAAATCTGGCAATCAAGGGAACGAAATAAATTGGTAGGGCTGCCCCGCCAGTCAATAACGAAAAATACAACGTTAATTGCCTACGGTGACGGGAGAAACTGCCATCTTGATCTATGTCTTAGCCTCATCTGGAAAGGAAGCCACCATGGATAGCAGTAGATTGGCATCGAAAGGAAAGAGGATCTGTTGCTAATAGGCAATTGGAATCAGCTATTGGACCACGTGTGTGTGTGTGTACACCCTTGGCCTGCATCTGTTTCCGAGACAGGAATTTAACGGGTCTGGATGATTTCACTTGAGTTGAAATGAGAGCGAACGTGTACCATTGTATTGCTTAAATTATCCCACTTATTTCACTAGCCGGAAGTGAATGCAATTGGATAAAAACTAAAAGCCGAATTTCATTTCAGGTAAAGTGTATGATGATATGATTTGTGAGTGGACCTCGCAAGGAGACGAAGACACATTCCTTGTAGTCCAATGGTAAATGGCGTTACTGGCACGTTTCGATTGACGCAGTCCTTGAGACATCCTCATTCGGTACCGTCGATTCTCTATTCAGGTAATGCCAAAAAGAGTCTGCAAATCGCTTCTGACAAGATAGACCTACGAGGTTTATCATATACTTTCATTCGAAATATATAATAGAACTCAATGATTTCAAATAAAGAGATTAATCTAAAAATAACCTTTTCGTATATGGGAGTTCATATTTATGCCTTAAGCGATAGAGAAAATGATACAATACATTATTGTCACCAAAGAGACAGTCAAGAGTAGTAGAAAATATATCTTGCCGGTCTGCAAAAGCGGAGGGCTCTGTAACCAAAAGTCGCGGGTTGAACTGTGATAAAGTTGGTTGTGTGAAATGTCTGCTTTGGGCTTAACTCCTGGGAAAATTGAGGGGATTCGGGCGGGGTCCCAACTTGAGAACCCGATCTGCGGATAGGGGAATCATATGGCAAAATAAATCCCTATTATTATTATTTAGCCGAAGTCAAATAGAATATCAGCCCATGAAACGAAGGGACTCCGTCCTGATGTGCCTTTGAGCACAATTGGGAAAAAATCATCTGGTTCGTCACAAGTTAGCCAGGAGTAACTGTTAACGAAATTGCCCATCTCTTTTTGTCAGTTTGACCTATCCCCACATTCAAGCTTGTCACCCCGTGTAGACAGGGGACACTAGGAAATATAACTACCTTATATTTGGACATCAGAGAAACAGCATCTGTTCGAGTAAGTCTGCGTAGGATAGTGATGGTATCAACAAGCTGGGCTGTGTGATCAGACGCCTCAGCTTGCTCTGGCATCAAGTCATCGGGCGGCTTGAATTCGAGTACTTTATAGGCCTCCAGGTAAGCAGCAGCCTCTTCGGACCTGAATAATAAGAAATAAACGCAGGAACGATGGAAACGGCGGGGGCAAGCGGAAAAGAAATGAAAGATGCAAGAGGACACGAGGAAGACACACATTTGGCACGAATTAGTTGGACATTCGTTAAAGGCAAAAGTAGATTTTGACATCGCGACGTTTGAGTAATGCATTTTGGGACGTATGCTCCAGAGCAGAATCAAGGACCCATAGGGACAAATTGACATAACGACTGCAGAAGGAATCTGGCCAGGGAGCTGAATTGAGAAAGGAAGGAGAGCTTCTATGATAGTGCTTGTACAAGGGTGACCCTCAAAAAAACGTAAAAATGAGAACTATCGGATTTTCTATAATTATCGCCTAATTGACAACCAAATTACAAGTGTACACAAATGGCATCGGCGGCTTCGCCATTCCTTCGCGTCAGCTACTGCCAACTATCATAACTTTGCAACTGACCTGACAAATAGGCTTTTTTGTGTGACTTCGAAGCTTTAAATTTCAAATGACGCTGCATAAGGACGCCCTACCAATAGTTATGCATTTCAAAAGCATGTCGAATGCCCTTGCTTGATAAAACTACCAAAATAGATCGTGGTATGTGAAAGTAAGTTTGTCATCAAGGTACCAAAATGGACAAACAAGACTGATTTTTCCTTTCTAAGTAGGTTTTCGAGGCTACCAGTGCTCACCTTATTTAGTTGATGCAGATGATGAAGGAATGGTAGCTGAATTTTTCTACGATCAAATGAGAAGAAATTACGTTTTTATTGAATATAACGGCCACTTCTCTACAGTACAGGGTGGACTGGCGTGAACTGGCCTGATCAGCACTCCCAGTGGAGCTTAAGCCTTGGAAGAGCAGCGCATATTCTCGACACGTTAACAATCACGCCATAGTGTTCAGATTAATAGGACAGATGTGAATTTGAGGGAAGTTAAGGCCTTTTCCATATCGCATTTTGTAGTGGTTCTATTGGCTGTCGCAATCATTATCACTTATCTATCGTAGATATGAAGACCAAAATGGTGCGGCCTTTATTTGGGTTGCAGTCTCCTCTCGATGTATGCAAGTAGCCTCACCTAGTTTTCACAACTTGGTCGTGTTGCAGGACGACCAAGTTGGAAGCTCCTCGTCCGACTTCTGCTATAGTAGTTATCATTATTTAGTGAGCATCAGTGAGTCTTGCCATTCTCAACCCTACTCTCCGGTACAACCAGTGAAGCCAAACCCTTGACCAACTTTCCGCCATCACTCCTCTTTCTGTCCGCATGCAGCTATCTGTTCCCTACCCTCTTGTCTCACTCATGTCTTATCATTTCTTACTGGTTATATTCCACTCCTCAATAGGTGTGCTCTTTTTAGGCAGGTTTACTGTAGCGTCTACCATGTTTTCCATTCTTCTCTATTTGCCGATCCTATCTCAATCTAATGTTCTAATCCAAATATATGTTTTCCTTCATATATTAGTCTTCAACCTTTTGGAGGTAGATACACTGTCGCCTCACTGAGCAGAGCGCCCAGGGTCTGATTGCCATGCTTGCAGACATCAAATGATGTCTCCCTGACTCATCTCATTGATACAACCCATGTACCCTGAGCAAACTATGAACGCCTGTTCGGTCGCCTGATGGTGTGACATTTGTCAGTAACTGCCATAATCCTAACGTTGTAGTTGTTTCTTCGAGCAGAGTATACTTGCTGACAATGTCTTCCCTTGATTTCCTAATTTTATGAACCTAAGTCTCCGTTGCGATCCATTTTTCTCTGGTAAACGATATATTCTTGATCCAGGCTCATCTTTTTTGCTTGTCTT